TTTTAATTTAATTTTAAATGATGCTTCTTAAACATTTTGAAAACCTTATTTACTTTACATACAATAGTTTAGTTATATAATATAGACTTATAGAAAGAGACCTTCTAAAAACGTTAAAATGTATTGCCGGCACGCGAAACCTTAAATTAGAGTGAATAAATGAAGACTCGGCACACCACTTCTGAAAGGTTGCCTACCCCTGAGCTAGAGCCTGGCTTCTCCCTAGGCTTCCTGCTGGGCTGTGGCCACCCAACTCCCTGCTGGCAACTGGACTGCTGCCCAGAGGCTCCCTGCTCCCCTGGTGTTGCCTGGAGGCTCCCGGCTCCTCTCCGCTGGGAGCTCGGCTGTCCCCTCAGGCTCTCAGCTCCCCACTGCAGCTGGGCTCCTGGAGGGGAGCTCTGGGCCTGGAGTCCGGGCAGCTCCTGTTGGGTAGCCAGGAGCCTCAGTGCAGCCATCGGGCTCCCTGTGGGGATCAGGAGTCTCGGGGCAGCTGCCACATTTCCTACGGGGAGACTCCAGGCAGCAACTGGGCTCCCCATTACTGCTGTGGTTGTAAGTTGACCTACCATAGGTCAACTTACCTTTTTAGTGTAGACATGCCCTGATACTCCACAGGATAGCATGTTGTGCAAATTTCAAGCTTGTTTTTGGTGAAAATGTAATGAAAATTAATTTACACAGAAAACTGTAATTACAGAGCCAAACCCTGGGAAATGGAGCAAAGCTGAGTAAAAGGTCTTTGCTACACCCTAAAATGTTACGCAGCTGAAAAACGGACTTGTAAGCATGTCTCAGTGGCTAAGACATGGATGTTACTACAGGATATGGGGAAGTAGCAGGCCACTCTTCTCCCACCATGATTGGGGTTTGATGCAGTGATATACCACAAAGATCTCTATGACAGTGGTTCTCAACCGGGAGTACACGTACTCCCAGATAGTCCACAGAAGTCTTCCAGGGGGTACATCAGCTCATCTATATATCTGCCTAGTTTTACAACAGGCTACATAAAAAGCACTAGCAAAGTCAGTACATACTAAAATTTAATACAATGACTTGTTCATACTGCTCTATATACTATACACTGAAATGTAAGTACAAAATTTATATTCCAATTGATTTATTTTATAATTAGATGGTAAAGGTGAGAAAGTAAGCAATTTTTCAGTAATAGTGTGCTGCTACTTGTATTTTTATATCTGATTTTGTAAGCAAGTAGTTTCTAAGTGATATGAAACTTGGGATACGCAAGACAAATCAGACTCCTGAAAGGGGTACAGTAGTCTGGAAAGGGTGAGAGCCAATGCTCTATGACATTGTGCAGAGTCCTTGTAAAAAGTATCTCTTTGGGGCAGCTCCCTAGCGAGGCTAGGGCCGCTCAACATGTCCAGTTACCACCAAGGGATTGGCCCAGTACAGGTCACAGACTCTTAGTCCCTTGCAGCAGGCCCCACCCTTGTGGACTTGCTTACTTTGTTTACAGGTGGGGGAAAAGCAAAAGTTCACATTCAACACAAAACAAGCTCCTCCTGGTGTCAATAAAAAGTAAAAATATCTGTGGCACCACCTTACTTCAGGGGTGCCTGGGCAGCAGCTTTGTCGGAGTCCTTATGGCTGAGTAGCCAAGTCAGTTTCTCTCTATTGGGCTTGCCCCTGGGGTTCACTGGGAGTGTTTCTGCATGAGGGTTCCCCCTGCTATTTCAGGAACCACTTGTCACTCCCTTCTCAGGGCTTCCCCTCCTTGCATACTGCAGCTTCCTCGTTTTACAGCCTTCTTCCCTAACATGCATGACTGGCGGGGCCAGAGGGGCGGGGCTATCTTAGCACACAGAGCAGCCCAAACCCCTTTCCTGTTAGTGTAGGGTTTATACATGCCTTCACATACCCTCCCACTCAAAAATGACACCAGCGATTCATGTTGTGCAGTGAATGTGCTGTCCTTGTCAGCTGTAGTGTCTGTGCCTTGAGAAAAGAAATTAGCATTTGTATGAGCCTTGCCTGCTCTGTGGGACATCTGGAATCTGTACAGTTGTAGAACTAGGTACCAATGCATGATCCTCGTGTTTGTGTCTTTCCTTATCTGCAGCCATCAGAGGGTACATGGTCCATAATCAGTGAAAAGGAGGTCCCCAATAAGTAATAATGTAAAGTATCCATGGCCCACTTGATACTCAAGGTTTCCTTTTCGATTACTGAGTATGTCTTTTCACATAGAAATAATTTTTGACTCAGGTACAGTATGAGGTGTTCCTCTTCGTCGATGACCTGTGAATATTGCCCCAAGCCCCACATTCGATGTGTCCATCTAAGTCCTTCGAAAAGTCTGGGTTGAAGAGCATCTGTTTGCATCATAAGCTCTCTTGTAATTTCTAAAGGCCTTACTGCAAGCATCAAACCACTGCATCTTCTGTGGTTTCGCATCCCTCATCAGGTCTGTGAGGGGGGCTGGATGGTTGCAAAGTTTGGCATGAAGTGCCTGTAATATCCAGCCAAACCCAGAAACTGTCTAACTTGCTTCTTGGTCATGGGCCTCAGATAGCTGGCTAAAGCCTGTACCTTGTCCACAAGTGAGTCCACCTCCACCGTATTCCCAAGTAGGGGGCCTCAGAGTTCCCAATCTTGCACTTAGCCAGGTTGGCAGTTAGGCTGTTGCTGGCGATTGACTGCAATATTTCGGTAACATGGCCAAGATGGCTGTCCCAATCTTGGCTATATATAGTTATTTCATCGGAATAAGCAGTGGCCAGGAGGAGGACCTGGCCCACTAGTCTTTGAAAGGTCGCCATGGCTCCATGTAGTCCATATGGCATTGTTCAAGAGTTGTACAGCCTGAATGGTGGGCAAATGCAGTTTTCTCTCTGGACTCTAGAGTCCATGGAATCTACCCCATACCCTTTTGTAAGATTAAGTGTATATATTGTGACAGACCCAGACCAGTGGGGTACAGGTGTCTGGTAGAGGGCAAATATACTGGTCACTGGATGAGTAGTTTTCTGTTCCCTGAGTGACCAGAGAAAGGGGCTGCACTAGAGTAATCAGGAACCTGCTAGAACCAGTTAAGGCAGGCAGGCTAATTAGGACACCTGGAGCCAATTAAGAAGAAGCTGCTAGAATCAATTAAGGCAGGCTAATCAGGGCACCTGAGTTTTAAAAGGAGCTCACTTCAGTTTGTGGTGCGAGTGTGAGGAGCTGGGAGCAAGAGGTGCAAGGAGCTGAGAGTGAGAGGGTGTGCTGCTGGAGGACTGAGGAGCACAAGCGTTATCAGACACCAGGAGGAAGGTCCTGTGGTGAGAATAAGGAAGGTGTTTGGAGGAGGCCATGGGGAAGTAGCCCAGTGAGTTTTAGCTGTCATGCAGCTGTTACAGGAGGCACTATAGACAGCTGCAGTCCACAGGACCCTGGGCTGGAACCCGGAGTAGAGGGCGGGCCTGGGTTCCCCCCAAACCTCCCAATTGACTTGGACTGTGGGTTCTTCCAGAGGGGAAGGTCTCTGGGCTGCTCCCCAACCCACATGATGAATCTCTGAGGCAAGAAACTCCCACCCCTCTGCCCTGCTGTGATGCAACACGCACTGCTGCTGCCGTGGCGTGTGCCGTTACTTGCGAGTCCCCAGGAGCAACATGCAGTGTGACGCTTTTTCCCCCCAACCTCTGCCCCCACACCGCCCCTTCTCGTTGAGACCCCACCCTTGCACTGCACCTTACCCCTAATCCCTGCCCTTGCACCCCCTCTTTCCTGCAAGACCCCATCCCCCCCACTCACTCATCTCTGCACCCTCCCCCCACCCTACTACCATTGTGACACGGCTTGCTGTTGCAGGTGCGGATACACATAAAAGACAGCTAGCGGATCGCGGGTTGATTCTGGTGGATGTGGATCCACATTTTTGTATCCACGCAGGGCTCTAAGCATAAGGGCTCCTCTTCCTGTTTCAGGAGATATTCTACTTATTCCCTTCTTGGGGCTTTCTCCCTTGCGGACCGCAGCTTCCTCCTTTTAAAGCCCTTCTCCCTACCATTCATGATTGGCAGGGCTGGAGGGTCAGAGCTACCTTAGTACACAGACTCTCCCAGACCCCTTTCCTGTCAGTGAGGGGTTTATACACCCCATCACAATCCCTCTGTGTAGTGTCCGATGCTTGTCTTTTCCTCCTGCACAGTCATCATGTAGGGCCTGATTTTTCACTGACTTGCACTTTGAGTAGCCAGCCATTTACTCCTCTGCAGTCTTGGCTTTCTGATTTGATAGCACTTTATACCCTCACTACACAGTTGTAAATGACTAGTCAAGGTGCAAAATTCTGGAGAATCAGGACTAGTATTTTTTTAGCTGCTTTGGAGCCCAATGGAGGCTGCACAAGGATTTGGCCTTGCAAATAGAGTTTCACAATAAAGGAGTTTCAATGTGCACTGCAATACACTGAAAAAGTTTAGGATTTTCATTTCTCCTTCACTAGAAATGGAATTTTCATTGTATTATTTTTGAATTTAGCCCATATTGGAAGATAAGTTGTCAGCTCTTAGGTGATAGTCCTTGTAAAAATATGGCTCTTGGTAGTATGTACAGCAATGCCCATTTTACTTCAAATAATTTAAAATCTCAACCCTGTCATTAATAATATTACATACAACCCCCTCCAAAAAAAACTGCATTAAAAGAGTGTTATGCACGTTTCAGGGTCATGCACTCAACAGTTAGAAAATGCCAGATTTGATGCATCACAGTTACAGAACTGACTGAAACTCTGTGCCCTCTTTTTGTCCTGGGGTGGAGCTCCACGATTCTCCCACTCTTACACAAGGGGCTGTAACCCCAGGATCCTGGTCTATCTCCCACAATTACTCAGCAGGCCCGACTGAGTTCAGCCTCTGCAATTCTTCCCTTAGGGAGCTTGTGACTATTTGTTGGAAATTTTCTAACAAAACAGTTTACTTGGAAAATGCCAATCTATGGATCCCAAAATGTTTCACAAAAACACATGGAAACCTGCTTGTTTCCCTGCCAGCTGCCAAGTGGGCTCCTGGGGAGTCTGGGCTTCAAGGATTTGTAGCTCTGGGGCAGCACCACCATGAGGTCTGTCCCAGGGCTGGGGGATCTCAGGGATTCCAATTGAATGGAGAGATTAAGGATATGTCTACACAGCAATTAAACACCTACAGCTGGGCTGGGTCAGCTGACTCGGGCTGCAGGGCTGTAAAATTGCTGTGCAGACTTTTGGGCTCAGGACAAGCCAGAAGCCCGAACATCTACACAGCAATTTTTAGTTCTACTGCCCAAGCCTCATGAGCCCAAGTCAGCGTCAAGTCTTTTATTCCAGTGGTGCCAAAAGTTTGTTGACAATACAAGAGAAGGGGAATGAGAATATTCAAAGCTTATATCTGATCCAAACCTGAACAAAATTTCATGGTGAAAAGAAAAGGCACTTCTCTGGTCCTAGGGCTTTCTCCCTGATGAATTTCAAATGTCTGCTGCAAACAATGGAGTATTAGAAAGTCTCAGAAAAAGTCAGATGCATCTTTTAAAATGAAAAGTGTTAGGCAACCCAAATATAACTCACCCTATAATTTAACAAAACATACCTTTTTATTAATGTATTTTGGGACAAGTCCTGAAGTTTCAAGGAGATATTTGTTTCCTTGTCTTGTGTCAACACAAATAGGTTGAGGCTTCTTAGCCACTCCCATGATAACATCTGCTGCATTTGTATTTATGAAATTCTTTTTACTTTGAATTCCCATAAGTGGGTGATCTGTCACGTGTGGCACTGATGGTATTGTTAGTAACCTCTTTCTTCCTTCATCTCTTTTTCCTGTGGAATTAAGCATATGAACATCCTTGTAGCTAGTATAAAGCAGTAAGTAATTTTTCAATGTTAGCATTCTCAGGCATCTCAAGTGGGAGAAACAACTAAAACTGAAAGAAAAAAATGTACAGAATTATTCTGAAATGAAAATCAACTAGGTTAACAACATAAGAATGGCTTGGGGAACTACTGTAATGAAAAACTACTTAAAGTTCATTGGACCAAAAACCTACAGAAAATCTACATGGCTTCTGATCAGGTTTTACACTGTAAAATGCATTTAAAAGTACTATTGTATAAGACTTGATCCATATGTTTTCTGCTAGCTGTAGGAGAATTATACTACTTAACTTATGTTTTACCATCATCAAAGAAATATTTTTAAATTGTGTATAATATTTTATAAAATTAAACATGTGCATTACTTTATTACTTTACATGGAAGAGAAAAATTAAATGTTTATACTTATGTATTTTAGCTCTCTTTAATACATTTTGTCTTTTTTTAAATAAGTTACTCAAATGGTCTCATTTTGCTCTTCATTTCATCTACCTTCCTATCTGCTCTGTTCCTCTATCTGCTCCTAAACCCATGCAAATGCTTGCCCGATCCTCCTCTCTCCCTACGCATTCTGCTCACGCTTTTGGCTTCCTTCTCCCCTGAACATGCTGTCAAGTTGTCTCATTCCCTCTCTCATGGAAAGACCGCTGGCAGTTCTAGTCCTACTGGGAGCTTCAGTCACTGAAGGTAGCTTCTGTTTCCTTTCCTCCTCTTGTGTGACAGCAGCCCACTAGTGAAAGCTGTAGCGATGGCTCATCCTCTTTGTTTTCAGCTGCTTTTACAACTGCAGAGGCAGCTGGAAGCAAGGAGAAGATGCAGTACCAAATAATCAACCAGCTCTCTGTGAGCCACCAGTAAATGTTCAGTGGGCCATTAGTGGGCCACAGACCAGAGTTTGAGAACGAATAAAAGTATGTTTCTGTACAATGGATTATGTGGTAAAAGGCTAACAGTAAACGCAGCTTTTGTAAAACTGTTGGGAGGTACTGTCATTCAAGAGAGCAGCTGTTTTATTTGTAATACTGTACCTTCAATTCTTGACATATTACATTTAGGCACTACAGCACATACAGTACATACTTTCTTTGTAATTCTGTTTCTTTGAATTGATCATTACACAAGATTCTCACTCTTGGGACTCAAACATTTAGCTGGAGACTGACTGGGAACTCTCAAAACTAAGGAGTTTTTGAGGGTTGCACCCTTATCACACCCATCCACCAATGCCAAGAGGTGGAACACTCTTCTCCAGCAGCACGAGTGGTAAAACAGAGTGAAGCACTCAACTGTCATTCCTTTTTTGAGCAAAAAGATGAAACATTCAACTAAGTACATCCATACAGGTAAAAATCCTGGGAGATTATATCCGTAAAGAAGCAGAATTACAATGTAAGTGATTTCTCCTTCTTTAAAGACACCATCTAGGATTCTCACTTTCACAGTGTACATAGCTTGAGGGATGTCCTTTCTACTAAAAAATTCAGTAATACACACTGCATCCGACAGTGATGAAAATATCAATCCATATTAAATAAACAACTACACCTCTACCTCGATATAACGCTGTCCTCGGGAGTCAAAAAATCTTACCGCGTTATAGGTGAAACCGCGTTATATCGAACTTGCTTTGATCCACTAGAGTGCGCAGCCCCGCCCCCCCGGAGCACTGCTTTACCGTGTTATATCCGAATTCGTGTTATATCGGGTCGCGTTATATCGGGGTAGAGGTGTAGTAAGGTTTCTTTCCTTTTTTAAATAAGGGAAAGGAAGGATCAGGGACCTCCAAAGAACATCAGCCAAAAAAACAAAGACCTTCCAGACTGAATCCAATAAAATGAAAATTTGCCAACCTAAACAAGGGGTAGCACAAAAGAAACAAAAATTCTAAACGGTGGGAGAGTTCACACCCCTTTACTTCAGAGGTATAGGCCTGGGAAACCAATGAAGGATTTACTGGGAGCGTAAGGTTACAAGAAACGTAAGTTACATAAACGTAAGCCAGGAGGGTCATGTAGCTACCTGCATTTGTCTACGTTTAAAACATCCCTGAGGTTCATAGCGAAAGCTGCTTGCTCTACTTCTGATAGTGTAAGAGGATGTGACCTTCTAAGTATCAGCTATCCAGGTCATACTAATAATAGATGGTAATAATTAGGGCCCTACCAAATTCATGGTCCATTTTGGTCAATTTCGCGGTCATAGGATTAAAAAAATTATAAATTTCACAATTTCACATATTTAAATCTGAAAGTTCATGGTGTTGTAACTATAGGGGTTTTGACTAAAAAGGGTGTTGGGCAGGGGGTTACAAGGTTAGGTTTTGGTATTGCCACCCTTACTCCTGCTCTGCTGCTACTGGAGGCGCTGCCTTCAGAGCTGGGCAGCCGGAGAGCAGCAGCTGCTGGCAGGAGCCCAGCTCTGAACACTACTGCCAAGAGCAGCGCAGAAGTAAGGATGGCATGGTATGGTATCGCAATCCTGACTTCTGCGCTGCTGCCTTCAGAGCTGGGCCCTCGGCCAGCAGCCGCCACTCCTCAGCTGCCCAGCTCTGAAGGCAGCAGTGCAGAAGTAAGGATGGCAAGGTCTGGTATTGCCACCCTTACTTCTGTGCTGCTGCTAGCGCGGTGCTTCCTTCAGAGCTGGGTGCCTGGCCAGCAGCTGACACTCTCCAGCCACCCAGCTCTGACGGCATTGCAGAAGTAAAGGTGGCAGTACCATGACCCCCCTACAATAACCTTGCAAACCCCCATAACTCCCTTTTGGATCAGGACCTCCTGTTTGAGAAATGCTGTTTTCACCCGTGAAACCTGTATAGCAGTGGTTCTCAAACTTTTTTTTCCGCAGACCAGTTGAAAATTGCTGAGGGTTTCGGCGGACCACTTAATGATCTTTCCAAATGTTGTTTGTACTGTTAGCTAACTATTGTAAAGCACTTTGGATAAAAGCGTTACATAAAAAAAACCTTAGTAATAATTAATGTTTTTTTGTTCTACAAATAAAAGCACACAACTCATATTTTAATATCCGTAGTCTAACCTTTCTAATGTGTTGGATGTGTCCTCTCTCCCGCACCGTGGCAGCCCCCGAGCTGGGGCTGGGAAGGAGGGAGGTCTCTCCCTCTCTCCCCCGCCCTTCATTCTCTTGTGTGCAGCCACCCAGGCACGCACCTTAGAGGGAACTATCCGTGGACCACCTGAATGGAGCTCTTGGACCACAGTTTGAGAACCTCTGCTTTATAGCATAAAGGTAAAAGTACACAAAAGACCAGATTTCATTGCCCCCGAAGCTGCGGGACCGGTGGACCTCCCGCAGGCATGCCGCCAAAGGCTGCCTGACTGCCGCCCTCATGGTGACCGGCATGCCACCCCCCGCGGTTTGCCGCCCCAGGCATGCGCTTGCTGCGCTGGTGCCTGGAGCCGCCCCTACTTTTACATAGCAAAAGGAGGGAGAAAAAAACATTAAAAAAAAACCCCAGAACAATGATTATTAAACCACAAATACTGGCGAGAACACAAGGGCAGTCATAGCATATAGAACTAGTTTAAACTTTAAAAATATGACTAGATTTCAGGTTAATGGGTTCATTTTCAATACTGATACAAATCCTAAAAATACAAGAAACATATGTTACTTTTCACATATTTATGCCAAAAACATACTGTCTGGTAGCTTTGGTTCCTTTGAATGTTTCTGAAGAAAGTTTTTTGGAGATGGTACTTCAATTTTTGCTGGTCCCATAGTTTTCCATGGAGCTTTATTTTCTTCTATTTCATGTTTCACAGATGGTCTAAATGTTGATATATATCTTTAGTGTTGAAAAAATAACCAGAAAGTAGTTAAAAGTCAGAAAGTATTTTTTATATGTGTGTGTGTATATGTGTGTATATCTATCTATCTATATATATACCTCTACCCTGATATAACGCTGTCCTCGGGAGCCAAAAAATCTTATGGCGTTATAGGTGATACCGCGTTATATCGAACTTGCTTTGATCCGCTGGAGTGCGCAGCCCCCCCGCCCCCGGAGCACTGCTTTATTGCGTTATATCCGAATTTGTGTTATATCGGGTCGCGTTATATCGGGGTATAAATATATATATATTGCAGTCTTTTTGTCTATAGCTAATATTCAAATAAATATCGTGGCTCCACAAAAATGCTTTGGGTACTGCATACAAAAAATAAGACATTATAGCAACATTTTTATGAGATTAAAGCATAATTTTGCATTACACACATTGCTTGGTCTTCTTTTTAAATCATCTGCATCTTAAAATGACATTTTCTTGTGGGTCTTCAATCCAGCAGGATTAGCACATCAACTTCATTATACTTTGTATAAGTATCATTCAAAATATGCATACAGGGTTTCTGAATAAAGACTTCAACTACATTCATGGGACTTTCCAGAGTTGAGCATATACAGTATAAGGAGAGAGCAAGCCACAATATACAATACATACTTTACGTAGCATTCCTCCAAAAGAGGCAGCTTCTGCCAATGGACAGGGCAAAGAACCACATTATTAGTTGTTATTATTACTAATAATTATTATTATTGGTACTGCTGTAGCACCTAGGGGCCATAGTCATAGACCAGAACCCCACTGTGCTAGGCACTGTACAAATGTTTTTAGATTATATTGCAATCACTTATATTGAGGCCAAAAACTTACTATTTTTCAAAAATGGATTAGAAATTTATATTGACTATGATAGCATCTATAGTTACATTAGATAAGATAGAATTATATTATAAAGGTATACACAGTCTCATGCTTCAGAACATATGTTAACCACTTACTGATGGGGGTTGTGTAAAAACTTCTCCTATGGGTGTGTTATTTCATAATTGTCCCCTGGCTGCAGGGTTTCTTTCACCTTCATCTGAAGCATCTGGCACTGGCTAATGTCAGAGTCTAGATTTAGGGTATGTCTACACTACCCACCGGATCGGCGGGTAGTGATTGATCTATCGGGAATTGATTTATCGCATCTAGTGTAGACACGATAAATCTATCCCTGATCGCTCTGCCGTTGACTCCTGTACTCCACCGCGGCGAGAGGCGGAGTTGACGGGGGAGCAGTGGCAGTCGACCTCGCGCCGTGAGGACGCGAGGTAAGTTGACCTAAGATACGTTGACCGAAGTTGCGTATCTTAGGTCGATTTCCCCCCCCCCTTTCCCCCCAGTGTAGACCAGGCCTAAAAGAACCATTGGTTGGAGCCAGTACAGCAGTTCTATGTTCCAATATCATATACTTCTTATATAGGGCTGATCATAGGGCTGATCCTGAACAACTGAAATCAATGGCAATTTTGTCACTGGCTTCAGTGAGTGCAGATTTAGGTCTAAGAACCCAGGCATGGAAGCATTTATACACTCTATGTCCATAATTCTGGACATGATATCTGTAATGCAATAAGGTTGTTCTCCTTGAGAATGGCACCCTAACTTACTTTGTTCAAAGGGGTGATTACTTGTGTGACAAAAACCTGAAAGGAACAATAATAACAACAACAAAAGACACGTGGATTTATGGGCACATCTATCTGTTGTCAAGATATGGATCCCTTGTGGTATCAAATTGTAGTACCCAAAAATTGTTTTTTTGTTAATAATAATACATAATAACATTGAGATTAAAACTGGAATGTATCAAAGTCATAGAACAAACTGTGCAGTCCTCCCAAATGGCTAAACCCTAAGCTGTTACCCAACAATATGTGACGCATTTTCAAGTATGGTAAAGGCAAAAAAAGACTATATATATAGTACAACCTAGTTAATCAAAAAAAGAACAGAAGGAATTACTTTGGTTAAACAGGTTCAGCTGAATGGGAGTCATGGTAGCAGCATTAACGAAAATGTGCACAGAAGTAAAGGTGTTGCAAGTGCCAGACAGATCATTTCTTTTTATTACAGTCTTTAGATGCAGGTGATCTAAAAGACAGGGAATCACCTTCAGGTTAACAGGGAGATTGGGATTCAAGAGATTTCACATAAATAGTACTGTACTATTTTGTTTTGCATGAAAAATACTTTGATTGTGTGACTTATTGTGGAATACTGTACAGCTGTCTTCTAGGTACAACCAGATCATGAATAAAAGTGAATGGACAGAACAGGTTGCAACTACCATGGCTCAGAGCTTGTAAAACCAGAGAGAGAGAGAATGCTATTAGAATTAAGGTGAATTTCCATTTCCTTCCTGTAGTGGTTCCCTATGGTTCTGATCACATAAATAAGAAATGCCTAGCATTTCCCTAAGTTGATTAAAGGATTTTTCAGAATTGTTGGGTTTTTCATGTAAGAATCTGCTTTCCTTCTTCAATCATGCAAGCTAAGCTACTGAGGTCCAGAAACTGAGGTTATTGTCTCTGACCTCTGGGTAGGAGATAGAGCTTCCTTCTCATACAATTTAAAAACTGGAGAACAAAAAAAATATGTAGAGCTTTTGACATGTATGAGGACAAGGGTCTTAGGATAGCTTCTCTCCTTGACTATTCTTATATCGTCACTGGATTTCCCCCTCTTCCTTCCCAAATGTGAATCAGACAAGTCCCTTTTAATGTGCTAAATGTTTTGTGTAATTTACAAGACAAAGTGAAGGAAATAATTTTTCAGTTATGGAGGACTCAGACAATGGGCTATTGAGGGTAGCAATGCAACAGAATTTAAATTAAAAGCTCCTCAGGGCAGGAAACACCTTCCTCTCTATTTTGTATAATGCCAAGAGCATTGCTGGTGTACATTAAATAATAAATAATGAAAAGATGAACGGGCCTGCAACATGCTCCATTTTTCATATATAAATGGTGCAGAACCCAGGAATCTGACAAATTAGCAATGTGGACCCCTTAGTTGGGTAAAGTCTGGACATCTTTGTCCTGTTAACTCATTAACACTTCAATTTATTTTATAAAAGGAGTGCGCAAAAGGTTGTATTAAATTTGGTTTGTTTTTATATAATAATATAATGGTTAGTAACAAGCCATAGCAAGTGTGTTGTTTGGGTATATATTTACAGCTTTGCCATATCACAGAACAAACTGATTCTTTCTTACCCTCGTACCTTGGTAGTTTGATAGGCTTCTCCTCCACCCGGGGTAGGAGATTATATATGCTCTCTTGGGCGCACAGCGCTGTCATCCTTGGCCTGATGGGGCCCTAGGGATAATGCATTTACATTGTATGTACTGTTGAGGAATCTCCCATGTTTGCGCCCTCTCTTTTTTCTTTGTCATTTTCTCAATCCCTCTTTATCTGCCTCCCTTTCTCCATCTTGTTTTTCCATCCCCCCCGCTACTCCCCCCTTTTCTCTTCCACCACTCATTCTTTTCAGCCCTTCTCTTCCCCGCCCCCTCCTTTCTCTCCTACGACCCTCTCCCACACCATCTCCCTCTCTTCATTCCTCCTCCTCTCCAGCACTCTATTCCCCCTCATTCCCCTCCTATCCCCATCACCCCTCATTCCCCTCCTATCCCCATCACCCCTCGCTTCCCCCCACCCGTCCCCGTGGCTCCCTCCTTCCCTCACCTTGCTCCGCTTGGTCCCGCTTCAGAGAAGATGATGCTACTAGGGATTTGCCTACTGTTGTCTCTTCAGTTGCTATGGGAAACTATTGCTTAGTAACGCCTGTGTGGAGGGGAGGGGCTATTTGTGACCTCATTTCCTTCTCTCTGAGCCCGCTAGCAACTTAGGGGGCGGTACACAACACCAAGAATGGGAAGATGGATGCTGCGCACGCGCACTATGCTGAGCAGGGTGGCAGTGCCCCGGTGGCTGCGCAGGCGCAAGAACGCTGACGTAGGACGGGATGCTGTGAGAAATGATTGCGCACGCGCTGTTGTTGCCCTGCGTTGGCAGGCTACGGGGGCGATTGCTGCGCATGCGCAGCCCGGAGGTGGGTGGTGCGGTGCCGAGGGGGAGCAAGTTCCAACTTGGCACGGCAGGATAGGCTGTTGAATCTCACGTTGCTCTGCCGGCGGTGCGGTTAATGTCTGGGTTCTGAATCTCGCGCCCGGCCCGGCCTTCCCGGGTACGTTTGACCCTCAGTGACTCATTTTAGGGCTCATACTGAGTTACTGGGGCCTCTGCCCGTCCTCGAGGGGTGTTGCAGTGACGAGG